CTAAACAATCATCCACAAATTACCTCAAGTGTTTGATTAACTTTGACATGAATATTAAACTGTAAACATGTAAGGACTTGTTTTGATGGATCAGTGTTCTATGCATACAGCATATGGAAAGAACATCTGGTGCCAATGTGTTTCTCCTCCGGTCAAACATACTCTTCCATGACACACGCCCATGCCATCTTGTGGAATTTATGGAGAATGCAGAAGAAGCATGCTCACTGCTCAGCTGGGACCCTAACACCATCAAGTGGAAATAAAATTTATATTCTACTCATGTAGCAGTAAAAGTTCATAAACAAAAAGGTCCCACATGGTCCTGAACATGTACGAACATTGACTTTCTAATCCAAAGGATTTGCATTTCTGTCCCTACATTTCTGAGATGCTGCCCTCTTGTTTAGCAAGTTCCTTATCGGCACATACAGAACAGTGCTTGTTTTACAACATTTAATACCTGACAAAGGATTCCCAGAGTGCTATAGGGGTTACCTACACAGACAGAATACCAGGAGCAGTCTGCCTTGAGGCATTGCTTTCTCTGAATGAGAGAGATGTTAGATAAGGGATGAGTCACTGCAATAATTAATTCAGTTCTATGTGTAAATTTCATCTTTAGCTATTTTGTTTTGAAAAATGGAGATTTTTCACAGCATATGACAAAGAGGAAGAGAAATGCATGTAACATTGAGCCCAAAACTCCTGAGCCCAAAACTTGCTGGCTGGATAGGTGAATGCTTAATTTTTGTATTTAATTTTTGCTGAACTCTGGGCACAAAACCTTTCATTGAAATATACTGGTCAATAGTCATAAAGGATATGAATCAAATTTGTGTGCACCAAATGCCTTTACAACACCATATTACCTTGTAGAATTATTATTGATATCACCACTGTGCCTGTGCATTGAGCAGAGCTGTGGGAGGGACCCAAAAGCCCCCCCCCCCCCCACTGCAGGCTGCCAGTAGAAAACTTCAGGAAGGGGCGGAGACAAGACCAGTCACTCAGCAGAAGAAGAGAGCAGAAGTGACAGCTCTTTATAACAGGAAGCTCCTACAAAGAGGCAAAGTTAAACACTGGACTACTGCTCAGATCTGGAAGAAATACACAAAGTACACCAAGAGTCATGGAAGAATACACATGATTTTTATATTTATACAAAATTTGCATATCTGAGAGTTAAGCTTTAACCTCTTCCCATCCGTCCATTGCCTATAGATGGCGGACGGGAAGCTAACATACCTGTACGTCAGCCCGCATCGGCAGCTCCTGCGCAGCTCACAGAACGCACACCTAGGAGCCCAGCAATTGGTGTGTCATCCGGATCACATTACCACTGTGTCCGGGAGATCACATGGTGTTTTACCATGTGACTGTTGTGACCAGGCACAGCACTCACATTGTAAACACTGTATAGTGAAAGGAAAGATTGCTTCTCTCTGCTCTGACTGTGAGAGCAGAGAAAAGCGATGCAGCAGCTTGTGAGTGTGCAGCAGCCTGTCAGGCTGCTTGTACACTCATAAACTGCTGCGCCAGCCACCCCAGTGTCCCTGATCACTGCTCATAGAATTCAATAATAAACAAAACAGCCAGCTCTCTCACCTGTCCAAGTGCACACAATCATGGCCATACACCATACCAATGTCCTAATGACTGCCATTCCAGCGCCCCGATCACCGCCATACCCCATACCAGCGCCCTGATCACTGCCATATGCCATACCAGCACCCCAATCACCGTCATATGCCATACCAGTGTTCTGATCACCGCCATACCCCATACCAGAATTCTGATCACCACTATACCTCATACCAGCATCCTGGTCAACCTATATACCATACCAGTATCCTGATCACTGCCATGCCCCATACCAGCATTCTGATCACCTCATATGCATAACAGCATCCTGATCACTGCCATACCCCATACTAGTGTCCTTATCACAACCATACTCCATATAATTTTTCTGATCACCACCATACCCCATACCATCCTTTTGATCACCACTATACCCCATACCATCATCCTGATCACCACCATACTCCATACCATCATCCTGATCACCACTATACCCCATACCATCATCCTGATTACCACCATACTTCATACCATCATCCTGATCACCACTATACCCGATACCAGTGTCCTGATCACCACCTTACCCCATACCAGCATTCGGATCACTACCAAACCCCATACCATCTTCCTGATCACTCCATACCAGTGTCCTGATCACTGCCATACCAGCGTCCTGATCACCACCATACCTCATGCTGCTGTCCTGATCATTGCCATACTCCATACCAGTGTTCTGATCACTGCCATACGTCATAACAGCGTCCAGCAGTTTAGGTCTCAACTGATCAATTTTCAAATATATATCCCATAGTTTGTATACTCTATAGCTTTCACCCAGACTAAATAATATACACTGTTTTGGGTTATGTTTACCCAAAAATGTAGCAGAATAAAAATTGGCCAACATTTATGAATAACTATTATTTATTTGCAAAATTTTAAAACAAAAACTATGCAAAAAATGATTTTTTTTCAAAATGTTCAATATTTTTTTCACTTAGATAGCAAAAAATAAAACACCCAGTGGTGATTAAATACCACAAAAAGAAAGCTATGTCTCAAAAAATTATAAAAATTTCATTTGGGTACAGGGTATTGTCACTCAAACTGTGCTAGTGCTGAAAGCTGAAAATTGGCCTGGACTGGAAGGGTGATGAAAGTGTCCCGACTTGAAGTGGTTTAATAAAAGTTTATTTTTTAGTCCTGGCATAGTAAGTATAAAAGCAACAGATAAATATAATTACTATTCCTTTTTTTTTTTTTATATAAAAACTTGAAAGATATGTTTGAGTTAATGTTAAAGCTTAGGCAGATTATTTTATTAAGGGTAGGCTCTGTCTCAAATATCACATAGCGCATGAGACATTGCCACTGAAGCCTATTATAAATATGGTTACTTGTTGACTTGAAAGAATTCACAGATGATTAGGCTCCCCCAAAAACACATTAGTTAAATCCAAAGAAGTCTGGGCCAATTCATACAAAAACATCCTGTATGCAGTGCATTAACCCAGATATATGGCACATGTCATTGTGTTAAGGCAGCCTTTTCATTATAAACGGGCTCCCAATGAACCACAATGGATGAAAAAAGTCCATGACTCTTTTCTCAAAACATGGTGTGTTATGTTTTGCATTCTGCTGTACAATGTGTGGGGAAGTTACAGTGAATGGCACTGCAGCGCAATGCACATACAGAAGATGCTTTGCCATAGGACAACACATGTTAACACATATGTTTTGGTGCATGTTGCCACAATGCACAAGTATGGGCTCTAAAGTTGCACTCCACCTTCACCCAGGAATGTGAAACACAATCAGACTGGAATTGGGTTTCAGGACTCTCTTTCAGAACAGCTCCTGCTAGTTGTGGCACTCTAGACCATGTCCTATGTGAAAAATAGACACAGAAGAAAGGCACTTCTAAGTGCAGTACCTTAGCAGGTTTATTAGGACACAGGATTAAAAACACTTACACGGTAACAAAGGGTACAGGCTCATCAAAAACCAACCAAGCTTCCATCAGTATTGATAAGGGCCCTCTTGGCTAGCCGGCGGCTGAGGGACTAGTGGAAAACAGGAGCCAAGATGGGCACCATACTTCAGGTATAGGCATGGAACGCACATGCCAAAGTGTGACGTCAGAATGGGGCAGCAAAGCATTTCAGAGCATGCTCAGAAGCTTCTTCTTCAGACCTAAGCCCCAAGGACTGGAGGGCGGCTTAGATAGCAGAGAGGGGTGGGAACAGGGGCATCCCTAGGGTTGGTGTCACCAGTGTGGGGATCATCGGCTTGCAACCTATACGGGGTTAACTGATCTCTTCACGAGCTCCACAAAAACGTGAGTTTTAAAGCAAGCCGACGACCCCCGCAAGATGGATCGGATCTGCGGATTGGGGAGCATAATGGATCACAGTTGCCAGATCCATTTTCAGAATGCCCCGTCTCTTGGTTAGCAGAGAGAATGCCTGCCCACTTGTTGTTTGACAGAAAATTCCGGCTCAGAGAATTGGCTAATTGGTTCTCTGTTGCTGGCACATATGCTGATTTTAAATCTGCCAGATGTACAGGGTTAGACAAAAATAGAAACAGTACATGATTTGCAGGTGTGAAAGTGACAACATGTTTCCTGTTGAAAGCAGAAGTGATGTACCATTCTTTTGCTTCCACCATGTGATGAAACACCTGACTAACAGGTGGGAAGCCTCACTTTTGTCATTCACTGCGTGTGCTGCTAGTAATATGGAGTCATGTCAGAGCTTACTGAGCTTCAAAGATGGCTCGCTTAGCTGGTGCCTCTGTGACTGAAGTTGCCAATTTATTTGCCGTGTCGCAAGGTACAGTATTAAAGGTTATGACGGTATACACATTTTTTTGGGAAAACTTTGTCTTATATTCATAAGCACAGTCGACATAGTCAACTGACCGAAAATGACAAAAGGACATGGAGCAGCACTGTGGCCCAGAATAAGAAAGCAACTGCTGCAAAAGTGACTGCAGAGCTCAATCTCAGTCTTCACAGGAAAAGATATAGATTCACACCATCATAGGACAGCAGGACTCTATCCCGCCACCTTTCTCCTGGCTCTCTCCTTTGAGCTTCTCCAGATCCAACTTGATCCCTGGACTTGAACTTGTGAATACTACTCCCAGCTAAACCTTGCTTGGACCTTGATGTCTTACTAAAAGCTTCTTCTCTTCACAGGTGTCTCCTCCTGCAGGATTGGACACAGCAACACTGCACGCTGCTGCTCAGGCCTCTGACTATTTATATGCTCTCTCACCACCTACTGGGCACCCCCCCCCAGGGATTGGCTGGAGAACTATAAATATTCAGGCTGCATGCCCTGTTCTTCCTCCCACTATGATGTTAAAAGCCTCTTAGAAGACAGAAACAGAGGAGCAGCCTGTGAAACACTAAGCCAGGGGCGGACTGACCATTCGAGCACTCGGGCACTGCCCGAGGGCCCGGGGTCAGTAGGGGGGCCCATGAAATGTCCCTGGTACCTTTTATAGGCTTTTATGGGTTTGCTTTGAGTGTGGGCAAGGACACAGGGGCCCCATAATCCCCTATTGCCTGGAGGCCCCATGAGTTGTCAGTCCGCCCCTGCACTGAGCAGTCTTAATTAATCAACACCTGCTCCACTGATTACAGCGGAGCTAACTATATTTACCTAGCAACCTACTCTACACTAGGAGGGTGGTACATCAGCTATAACGCATAGAGAACAGATAGAAATTCATGGTAGTTTAGTACACTTTTAGAACAACCAGCGCTCCATACATATCATAACAAATCGATCATGGCAGTTTTTGTTAATGAACTAGGTCACTGAATGTTGATTCATTACAGTATATGGACTCTGCTTAATCCAGTTTCTTGCACAGTGCAATGCATGTGGCGGAGCAACTCTTTCATTCTTCATTTAATGAAATGACAGCAGTTTGCTATAAAAGTTCAGGACGTTTCGAGTTTATTAGTGTCCTCCATTTCTGCCTTGGAGGAAGAAGCCAATTATATTGTTCCTCGGTATTAGTCTTTAATGAGCATAAAAAAAAAATCATGGAGATTGTGACAAAGCACATATACTTTCAGACGTTTTCAGTTTTAATTATAATTAATAGATTCCCTTTAGAACAGATTTGTCAGATAATATCCAGTTAGGAATACAAGATATCAGCTCAAAATTATTTTAGCTGAGCTGAGCTAAAAATAAATGAACTGATAAATGTTATATCTGTGGTTTTCAAAGGGTATATGAATCAGGAGGTACATAGTTTATATCATATTTATATAATTATGTTAAAATATCATGTCCAGTGCTAGGAACTAAATGTAAAAATGTCATAGGAGTTCAGAGACAGGCAACTAAATCAGGGATGCAGTTAATGAATAGAAATATTGTAAGGGTTCAGTTTGCATAAAAGACATCTCAGATACTCCCTAATTAGCGTGTTTATCTATAATCAAGACTTGCATGATGAAATGACAAAATTCATTTTAAATCATATAGAGTGAATGTAAAGTTTATCTAAAATACATAAAAAATACAATTTTGTAGCTGGAAATCATTGTAGTAGACACTGCTACTACAATTAGCTCCAGCTGCTCAGCATGGGACTCAGAATCTAGTGAAGATTGCTGTAGTAGTGATTTCCAACTTCCAAAGCGATCCAACATTTAGGCTTGTTTCACATTTCTGCAGGTGGATACCGCTGTGGGACCCACACGTCCTCCCGGAGCTGCAACCACACAGAATGTAGGACCCGTGGGCAAGTGCCACTAATCCTAATGGCTTGCAGCCCCCACTGGAAGTTGCATCCGCACTGGGAAACGCACAGTAGTGCAGTTCTCGTGCAGGCTGCAATTTTTGAAAAGGTGCAGGGACCTTTTTGCTGCATTTTGTGAGGCACAACAGCCCATTCAAATGAAATCAATGGGATGCCGTGCCCAAGCAAAGAGGCCCACACAACACGCAAAAGTGGGAACCTAGGCTTATAGTATATGCATATGTAACACACTGCACTAATACTGATTGCAGGATGTTAATAAATCACAGGATGGCAGTGTTCTGTGGTTCAGTTATCCAGACTTTATTGAAGCAAATACTTGTTGAACTTGTATGCTGGTAGCAGGACTTCTGCACTCAAACAAGGAGTGAACAGACTACATTTCCCAGAAGAGCTGATAAAGTGGTGTGAGCTTATATATTGAGAAGCCTGGGGATTTTACAGGAAGGAAGAAGATGGTGAGAGGTGGATGACGTGCATGGAGAAGTCTGTCCGGGACTCCAGTGATCCAGGCTGGATCTGGCCATCTTACAGAGAAGAAAAGAGGGACTGCAGACCACTGGTATTGCTGATGAGCAGGACAGTCAATCCTGCAGGCATACTGATTATAGTGATACCATTGGCATCACTTTTTAACAGAGGGGTCAAGATAACATAGGGTCCCCACAACAGAGTTCCCACACTTTAGAGGTTCAACCCCTGCTAAAGTCTGCTTCTGTCCCTTTCTTCAATTTTAGCCAATTCTTGCCTTAATCTTTTGTGTTAAAGAGACCTTACCCAGTTTCAACATCACTCAAAGGGGAATATTTCTGTTGCTGCACCATATTGCTCTTACACAAAAAAGGATCTTGGTTTTAATGTGGACCAACTAGGGCCCCATCACGCGTGCAGAAGATTTGTCACCATTCTTTTATGAGGTACAAAAGGGGAAATTATTGCTTATAAAAAAGATTAAACTCAAGTGTTAAAACCTGTTCCCAGCTATTGAGAACTCAAAAGTAAGTTAACCTGACATCTTGATAGTTCACTTCAGCTCACTTGGGGAGAGGTATCTCAGAACCTGAAGCTGGAGTTAATGTTTAAATTCTGATCCTGCAGATCATTTGGGTTTACTTAACCACTTGAAAATAAAAAAAAAAAACGTAAATACCCACGCTATCGTGACAAATCATATATTCAATAAAAATATATATATATAATGCTGCTGTTCCTAAATTGAATAACACCTCAAATAAGGAATGATCAATATCACAGCGCACAAAAAAACATTTTTAAACGTGACAAAATCCAAAGTCCCAAACAAACAGTGCTTGAGTGCTCCACTCAAAAAATTGTGTCCAAACGAAATGTGTTCAATATGTAGTATCACCCCACAATGCTCCACGATCACCTTCCAATACCCTTCACGCTCACCAGATATAATGGACTCCTAGCTCTTTTGGCTTAAGAGTCAAAAAGGCTTAAACTGGTGAGGTGTGTTCCCAGGCATAATCAGGACCAGACAGGCAGAACCAAGATTCAATGTACTTCCTCAATACTTGATCCTCATGCAGGCAGGAAAAGTATAAGAAACAAGGGGGACACACATAGAGTAACATTCCTTTATTAAACAATCTCCAGATACATATTGCACTCACATGTAACACAAAGTTAAAAGCTTTTAGGTTAAACAATGTTTCGTGATCCCCACATCCACACACTATCTATAGGCAAAAATGGCTCCGGAGCATCGCTCACAGTGTGTGCTCTCCACTCACCGGACGTGACGTCACAGAGGTCGGACAGGAACCAGAAATTATATCGACGCATTTCTCCAGTGCGTTCTCCTCCAGGGCGTTCTCAAAGATCTTTTCCAGTTCCTGTCCGACCTTTGTGACGTCATGACTGGTGAGTGGAGCACACGCTGTGAGCGGCACTCTGGAGCCATTTTTGGCCATTGGAGCACTCAAGCACTGTCTGTTTGGGACTTTGGATTTTGTCATGTTTTAAAAAATTCTTTTTTGCACTGTGTTATTGATCATTCATTACTTAACCACTTGCCCTCCAGAGGATTTACCCCCTTCCTGATCAGGCCATTTTTTACGATATGGACCTGTGTTACTTTAACTGACAATTGCGCAGTCATGCAACACTGTACATAAATGACATTTATGTCCTTTTTCCCACAAATAGAGCTTTCTTTTGCTGGTATTTGATGACCTCTGGGTTTTTTTATTTTTTGTGCTATAAACAAAAAACATCTGCCAATTTAAAAAAAAATATATATATTTATTTTTTTACTTTTTTTTACATTTGCTATAAAACATACCCAGTAAAAAAATTTAAAAAATCAAATGTTGTCATACATTTAGGAAAAAAAGTATTCTGCTACATGTCTTTTCTAAACAAAAAATCCCAATACGTGTAAATTAATTGGTTTACGTGAAAGTTATAGCGTCTACAAATGGCGCTATATATACTAAAATTTTTATTTATTTTTTTTACATTAGTAATGGTGTAATCAGCGACTTATAGTGGGACTGCGGCAGGCATTCTGACACTAGGAAGAAACTGACTTACTGCTACTGATATCCCAATAATACTAATACAGTGATCAATGTTAGTAAAAAGCACTGACACTGTACTAATGACTCTGGGCAGGGAGGGGTTAACATCTGGGGTGATCAAAGGGTTAACTGTGTGCTGTGTGCGTTTTACTAGGGAAACATGCTGCTGTGTATTTCTCTACTGTGCAGAGAAATTCACGGCAGCGTGTGCTTGCTGGTAGGAGAGAGACCTAAGTTGTTTACACACAGGCTCTCCCCTGTCAGTTTTACTCAGTGATTGCTAGGTACCGGTGGGGAATTTCTGGCTGGTACCAGGTGATTGAAATCTGTGGCCACCATGTGCACATCCCCTACCCAGGACTGCAAATCACATGATTTTACGCAGCTGTGCCACCCTGTAGGATATAGGGCAGAGGGGAATCGGTTAAAGTGATACTGTGCTCTTATATTTTGTTAACCCTTTTAGAGTGTTTCATTTTTATGCACATCTACAGTCATCCTTGTTGTGCTTGCACTCTCTATACTCTGAATATTTGCTCACCTTAAATTGTGTTTATTTTATGGTTTAAAGCCAGGGAGTCCTCCTGGTCAAGGTTTCACAGTGGTGTCAGCAGGGGCTGTACTTCCAAAACAGGCTCAGAACAGACAGGGAACCCAGAAATACTCAGCGGCTCTTAAGGGGGTAGTGCTACACATAGTTACACTGTTCCAAGCGGAATCAATGTAACTATGTAAAAAATGCCATACCTGGAGTTCATCTCTAACGCCACAATCACAATTGCATAGTAGTCCCACTCATGATTTTGTGTGGGCAGTTTTCAAATGACTCTCGTATAGGGCAGTCTATTCACCTCAATTGGCTGCCCTATGCTCATTTGTTTTAACAAAAAAAGCCCCTGCTACTTTTTGGGTGACAAGCTTCATCTGATTTTGAAAGGCATGTTTTGCCTTGGTTGCTGCACTATTTTGTCACTCGATGATCGTGGAAAAATATCACCACAATACTTCAAAGAAGTCGCCCTTGGCGTAGAGTGTAGGGTGGGGCTTGGTCCAGAGCAGAGGTGTTTGTGTCCCTAGCTGCAGCCCCACTGGTCGGTATACCTGAGCTGTTAGCTGGCTACTGCTGAGTGCAGTGAGCCACGGGAGTCTCCCTGCTCTGTACACTGATTTTCTGCCTGTGGAAATGATACCATTGTGAGTGTGTTTTTAAGCAGGAATAAAGCAATCTGATGTTTAATACAGAAAGCACTATTAGTCTTTCTTTTTTGTATTCTATGCAGGGCTTTTTCCCTTCAGAGAATGGGTGCAGGAACTCCCCCCTTCTAAATCACTTCTTCTCTCCACCGCCCACTCACCTCCGAGCACCATCCCTTGATTACACCCCCTATCTCTCAATACTGCTCCTTTTAGAGAATACAGTGCCAAGTATCATTTTGTGGTGCTAAGTAAATTATATGGAATTTGTTAATGATAACAAGAAAAGCAGTAAAATAAATCCCCACAGGGAGCAGCAATAGACCACTTCCCAACAACAATAGATTATCCCAGCAACAATGGACCCCCACAAGAAAATACCACCCAAGCAACAAAAGACCCCCAGAAGAGATAACAGATCTCACAGCAGCCAGCATCAATAGACTCTCCAGCAGCCAGAAACAATAGACCCCCCCTCAACAGTAGGTCTTTTCCAGCAGCAATTGACCCCTGCAACAATAGATTCCCCACCAGCAACAATAGACCTTCCCAGCAAAAACAGACCACCACAAAGAATAGATCTCCTACAGTGACAACAGATCCCCTAGCAGCCAACATCAATAGACCTTCCGGCACACCCCCATTACATACATTTAGTGATGGAGGTGCCAGAACTGCATTCTCCCGTATTCCCACTGAAAAAAGCTTTGATTCTATATGAGCTACATTCATTTATCATGACCATAAAAGCTGATCCCGGCTTTGAAGGGAAACAGGTGCTGTTTGGATCTTTTATTATGTAAAGGTCTACACCTTAATGTACACGGCCATTTTTTATCTACTGAGGTGGTAACTTCTTCTTACTTGCAAATTGGGATGCACAGAGGAGTTTTCTGATTTCAAGAAATCAGATTTACGGTACTCACATTTTTTTTGTGAATTGTGGACTGACATGTGGACTTTGAATTCATTATTATTTTGATAATTGTTATTATTATTTTTTATTTTTTTTATGAATACATACCTTTTGATCATTTGGAGTCAATATCAGAATTTAATGTGATATGCAGATTTTTCAAAGCACAGTATTTTGATATCACTTACTTATTGGAAAATTGGGAAACTTTGATTGCTGCAGCTATTTTATGCATTTATTCACTAAACTGGTGAGCGCAAAGGGAGTGCCTTGTCCCAACACTGGTTGATCCCATCTTGGACATTCATGAGCAGTATCTTCTCCCTCCCCCACAATATTTGCATAAAAATGTATTTTTAAATGGTTCAAGTGCTGTATATATATTTATATATATACAGCACTTTATAATATATATTTCATTTTTTTTTTTTTTAGTTTATTTATTTTCAAACAGCAGGCTAAACTATTGCAGATGCAGAATATGGCAAACAAGAGCAATTTTATTTTTTTAGAGGAATGCATGACATTCTCCTTCAGATGTTGAGCATACAGTAAGTGTCAACATAAGGGAAATGAGGGAAATCTCCGTAATTAAGTCAGAATCTACGAAACATGTATGGGCAGAGCCTAAGAGTGGTAGTGAGTAGGATCTGTGTCCTGTCATTTTTGCTGTTTCTGTGAGCTGGGAAAGATTGGAGATGCTGGCGGCCAGCGGCTTCTCTGTATGTCTTTGCCGAGACATCTACAGTATATGCTTGATTTTAAGCTTATGCTTAAGCAGCGTTTGTGAGTACCTTGGTTACTTGTGTCAAATATATTTGAATGTTTAGGATACTACGCTATGGGAGCCTGTTTTTTTGTTATTTTTATGCTGTTTTTGAAACCTAACCACTAAATGGGGAGAGGACAGCAGTGGAGGTGAAGTCTTCACTGGACCTGTTTGGAAGATCTTTGCAACTACTACAAGCTGTGTTTGCCTTATCTTGTAGTGAGATTGGCACACACTTCGGGTTAGTGCATTTTTCTGTATAAGGCCCCTTTAACACAGACTGGATCCGGTTTTGCTCCGCAGAGGATCCGTCCACTGATCCCCTGTTGAGCTGAGCAGAGCTGCTGGATGACAGGTTTGTGTCTGCTCCGCTTATGCAAAGCAGACACGGGCACAGCCTGCTCTCCTCTATGGGCAGTCAATTCATTTACATCCGACTGCTCTCTGATCTGTTCAGGTCAGATGAAGGGATCCCCTTTCCATTTGTTTTTTGCCAGATCAGTGGTAGCCGTGCGCAAACAGAAACAAGTCCATTTTCATCTGACTGCCCATAGAGGAGAATGGAGGGTCTGGTCGGGTCTGCTTGAAAAGTGTACAGACGGACCCAACCGAACCACTCATGTGAAAGGGACCTCAGTGGCGGTGGTCACCTTGGATCAAAAATGTTTTCTACGCTTGAAAGAATAATATTGGTGATGGGAATTTTTTAGTTATTACACCCTTGGATTTCTTAATTTGAACTTTTTTTTGGAAATTAATATTAACGACATTTATTGAATGATTATTGTGTATGAATTTACACACCGATAAATATTTTATTTTATTGAATCAGCGCTGTAATTATTTTGTTATATCACTCAGGAGTTTATAATTATTTATAGCTGCCGGTTATTGGTAGAAGACTAAGTTATTTGTTTCACAGTTTTGCAATATAATTTTCTTACAATTTATTATATCCATCATATGAAAGGATTTTTACATTTATTTGGATTTGACCCCCTGATGTAAATGCATACTTTCAAGCATGCAGTGATGTAAATCTATCCTCAATCACAGTATCCACTGATGTAAATCTTTGTCAATCACAATGATCCATTGTTTGCTCGCAGCACTCCAATACTAAATAACAGATCCTCGGGACTCCTTTGATGTAAACACACTACTGGGGATCCTGGGTGGCATCAGTGATCAAATATGGTCAAGGACCAAATTTAGTCAACAACATCACAAAGAATCCCCAACTATTTACTTGCATTACAGCAGTGACTTGGATGGGTAAACTGGCCAATTTGGACCTATTTCTTTGGTGGGTCATCGAAACCCTGAATAGACTTGGTTTGCTTTGAAACCCATTCAACCCGAATCCTGTCCTTACACTCAATAAACAGGATGTACGTTGTGTTGTTTAAATGAATGTGTTTCTCCTCTACTGAAAAATTGTTCTATCAGGTTAATATTGATTGCTAGAGTAGCTTTACTCTACAACTAATAACCTGCTAGTGAGAGAAGACCATTCTGTAAATGTTTCCGGGAACTGTGTTATTACTGGCTCCTATTATCTGGCTAATAGGTTTTGCGCTTTGTTGATATGAAATAGTGTATAGAAAAAATGCTGAGCTAACTGATAATTGTGAAATTAAACGTAAGTAAAACCGCAAAGACTAACACACAAGACTTTGAACTCTGAACACATATACATACTGCATGGACACTATAGAAAACACTTACATAACAAATTATTTTAATGAAAGCACCAGTTTTAATAAATAATGAATGTAATTGCTGCACAATCCAAAAGAAATGCCCTTTAAGGCTAATAAATACATTAGAAGGAATTTACTGAGGCTGGAGCTGACAAAATCAGCTGGAACATCAGTGCATGGCAACCAATCAGTTTTTATCTTTCATTTTCAAAGCTCAACTGAGCAAACTGAAAATAGAAGCTGATTGGTTGCCATGCACAGCTGCTCCAGGTTTGTTTGCTTTAAGCAGTGTTAAATCCAAAAAAATAAAAATTTTTATAATTGCAAAAAAATTATATATTGCAGCTTATCAATCTTTAAAGGTGGTGGCTGTATTAGCTTTCCTTTTTTAGGCTTTTGTTCCCTTTATTATCACTGAGTGATCTGGCCAGTAACAAACCTTCTGTCTTATGGTGTCTCCACTCTGGATGGAGGAGCAACAGAGACACCCTTGGACAGCAACATTGCCAGTCTGGGGGAGGGGAGTGTTAAATGCACTAGCAGATCTAGATGGACTTGGCTAACACATTAAAGCTGAACTTCAGTTCACACTATAGGCAGTTACTGAAATAATTTATTTTTCCTTTAAAG